CAGCACAGACATTTGGTACAGAGATGCCAAAAATAGTTTTCTGCAAAAAGGAAAATAAGACATATTAAGCCTGCATACTTTACACTTGTATTCAGTATTTGTTATGTTGTTTATCTGCTCAACAAAAACATTTCAAAAATGAATTCTGATTTGTTGATTTTTCATAGGCCAAAATGTTACTTTTTTAGAGAATGACCCAGGTGCGAAGATGTAAGAAGCCCGTGTTCTCTGTGTGGCCCATCACCAACTCTGTGTGGCCATATACACACATAGAGAAACAACTGGTAATCAACTCCTGAATTAACTTCTCTTACAAGATTCTGACATATCAAAAGACGTGTATGATCCTGACTACATATGACGACCCTATCAGATTACAACACTAATGAGAACAGCATTAATTTTCTGTTACTAAATTGTAGCCTAGTAATATCCCAACAGTACATGGATAGAAGTTTTCCTGTAATTGAATATTTTAATCACCACTCCCTAAAAATCAAACAGAAATTTGGAAAAGAAATCCTATTTCAATCTCTCACCAATCTCATTAAGCAATGACACTAGGTGGTTTAATTATTTCTCCTAACAACAGATTGAAGGGACTGGCAGCTTTAATTTAGCATAGTTCTCATTTCTTGGACTTGCTAGAAATAATCAATAACTTAAATACTGAGACTGACATTCCACTCACAGATACCAATGTTTGTAAAGCCCCACATGGGACTTGGTCTGGCAGGGCTCATTCAGTTGTGTGTCTACTGTACTGACACCTCCTGCAGACTCCACACACCCCTCACACATGCAGCTGCCTGTCTACTGACTCCACACAACCCTCACACACATGCAGCTGCCTGTCTACTGACTCCACACAACCCTCACACACATGCAGCTGCCTGTCTACTGACTCCACACAACCCTCACACACATGCAGCTGCCTGTCTACTGACTCCAAACAACCCTCACACACATGCAGCTGCCTGTCTACTGACTCCACACATCCCTCCCTCACACACACATGTAGCTGCCTGTCTATTGACTCCACACACCCCTCACTCAAACATGCAGCTGACTGTCTACTGACTCCACACAACCCTCACACACATGCAGCTGCCTGTCTACTGACTCCACACCCTCACTCACTCACATGCAGCTGCCTGTCTACTGACTCCACACCCTCACTCACACACATGCAGCTGCCTGTCTACTGACTCAACACACCCCTCACTCACACATGCTGCTGTGAGGGTTGCCTGTCTACTGACTCCACACCCCTCACTCACACATGCAGCTGCCTGTCTACTGATTCCACACCCCTCACTCACACATGCAGCTGCCTGTCTACTGACTCCACACAACCCTCACACACATGCAGCTGCCTGTCTACTGACTCCAAACAACCCTCACACACATGCAGCTGCCTGTCTACTGACTCCAAACAACCCTCACACACATGCAGCTGCCTGTCTACTGACTCCACACATCCCTCCCTCACACACACATGTAGCTGCCTGTCTATTGACTCCACACACCCCGCACTCAAACATGCAGCTGTCTGTCTACTGATTCCACACAACCCTCACATGCAGCTGCCTGTCTACTGACTCCACACCCTCACTCACTCACATGCAGCTGCCTGTCTACTGACTCCACACCCTCACTCACACACATGCAGCTGCCTGTCAGAATAAATCTGTTATACCTGCCACAAGCAAGTCAGGCTGCACGTGCATTTCTGAGAGGCAGAATGAATATCTTATACCCCGCTTCAATGCAAAATGCTGCACTTTTTCCGAGTCAATGGAAGTCACATGACATAGCGCAAGCTGACCTAAGCTCAGTCAAATAGCTGTTTTCTATCAATTTTGAAATTGTTTGAATTCCTTTACAATGTCATTTCAAAACATGTAAATTTAGATAAATTTGTTGCTGCAGGATCACTCGGGGTACATGGGTTTTATGCATCCCTCAACAAACATAAAACCCAAGTGATCCTGCTACAACTTATAATAAGGTCCCCCAAATTTAAGCAACGTTTTCCTCCTATACGGTACATACATTGTACATCACCTGAAGGTGATGCTGGGGCCATGTACATTGTCCACTGTTAGTATCCAACAAGTGACTAACATATATATTGAAGCGTGAATATGATGATATTTGGTACCAAATGAAAAATATCATTTTTGGAATTATTAAAACACGGCAAAGACCAAAACGTGACAACCATGTGAAACGTGTGTGAATGTTTCAGGGGGTATTACAAATGACCCAAGTGGACCCCCATCCCCCTCTCACACAGGTAGAACAAACCTGGCTGGTACTGGGTGCTAGGCTGCATACATCATGTGTACTAGCAGCAACCTGAATGTAAGGTTCTCCAGTGGCCCTCTACTTTCCCAAATTTGAAACCGACTGAACACCCATTGAATGTGTTGGACAGCAGTGTATAACAGCATCATCATGATACATACACTACTCTCATTTCCTTCTTTGGCAGGAGGTGTCGGTTAGTACTGTTATGATGCTAATGGTGAACACACAAGATGCTGAGTTCTCTTGACTTTACCCTTTGTTAGTACTCACACCAATAATCTGGTTGTCAATCAATTCATGGGGAGTAAACTAACATGGTGCATGGATGACTCAGGCAACTATGTATTAGGAAATAACAATAATGTTTGTACTTATATTGCACTAGACTCCATGCACAATGTGCATACTTAAAGTGTGAACATTAACATCCCAGTCAGTAGATCAGTGTGCACTCAACTGTCATTCTAAGTTCCCTGGGGAGTATACAACCCAAGCTGCCTGCGAGGCACTAGGAGGTTAACAGCCACATTACCATCTCATTTTTCACCCACCGGGTACATGGGTAATACTTAGAAAAATACACAAGCCACTAGGAATTATGAAATATCTGTCTTGAGTGAGGTGCTTACAGCATTCATTTATGTGGGATGGACAGTCATTTTAAGAATGTAAGTGAAGAAAAACATGAAATGTCAAACTATATTTCCACTTAAGTCAACCTATTGTTCTGACGATGTAATGTTATCTATTTGCGACTTCATAAATGATGGTCTACATCATATTTTACTGAACAATGAAGAAAGATGGCATTGCGTTGCTTCAACTGAGTAAACGACACATGTGAAATTATCTGAAAGTTCCTACATTCTACTTTCTTCATGGGTAATAAATCTGTGCATCAAAACAGTAAGGCTTTAATCAAAGGATTCGAGGACAAACCATGTTACCAATGCAGAAGTTTGATATTGCAGAAGTTTGCATATTTTCTGTGCCAGAGCCACACTGAATGACCTTGATCTTTAAGTTTGGATCCCTGTACTTGCCAGCAAATGTATCAGATGTCCTCCAGTTGTAATTTAACATTCTATTGCTATCTGTAGACAAGCACTGGCATTTACATGAGCATTTTCAGTACATGAAAAACTGTACATGAGTATAGATTACCTGTTAGAGACTGTTGTACTACACACATAAGACATGTCATGCACATGACATACAACACGTCTACACGGTCTCACATATGTCATGCATGTCATCCAACACAGCTACAGCTACCACGGAGGCTAGGACACACCAAATAAATGATAGCTGAAAGAAAACACAAACTTGAATTCAAGGAGAGCTGAAATGGAGGTGACAATACAAATAAGCACAAGAATTGACACTTCCAATTAGAATTACGTGTCTAGAAATTAATTTCAAATATTTACCCAAATTGCTCCTTTTCCAATGTTTAAAAAACACACGTAACGGGTAATATAAAAGCTTAATGAACACCTGTTTAATGCTGAATTAACAATATCTATATATTTGAAATGTCAGTCTCTGCAACATGCAAATCAATAAATATATAAATCCTTATGAGAAACAAGCTACACATAATTAACTTAGATACTAGTACATGTTGTTTTGCATGTCATGATTCTCATTCATGCCTTGCTCATTTCAAGATGAGGACTTCAACGTGTTCAAGTTTATATCAGATATCAACCACTTATTGTAAAGAGAAAGATATGTTGTAAACATGTGATCACTTTCATTAAAATCCTTTTGCTGTAAGAAAAGAACATGCAGGCTGTTGTAAGTTACAGTGAGAAAGGGTATATGGAAACTAAACCCATTGGACTCATTGATTATCTTGTCTTCTGCCATCTATCTGTTCACTGTTACAAAACAGGATGTGAATAAAGTGCATGAAAAAATAATCTTTGAAATGTTGTCTTTAGTGTTTAAGTGCCTGTACTTTTTTCATTGTTGTAATGGTTGGATTTCAACTTAATTTGACCTGTAGCTATATATTATAGCTATATGAATATATATTATACATCACCAAACAGCTTCATTGACTTTACAACAAGCGATAGAGACAACAAATTCAGTGATCATGGTGATGAGAATTAGTTTATTCAAGTATCAGCTCAAGTACCTCAAGTATCATGCATCCAACAGCACCTAAAATAACAAATGTAGCATATTGCATGGTCTGTATTCAGATGAAAGCCAGTTTTGTCTGGCTTTGATATCTTTCTGAGAATATCAGGAGAATGAAGGTATTATTGCTTCTTAAAATAGTTCATGTGTTAATGTACACAGTTTTTGCAAATTCATGTAAATTCTTTCTTAATAAACACAGCACTGATCACTTCCGTTGACTATCAATGAAAGCTGTTGATTTCAAATATATTATTTGTTAATATCCCCAGTTTCTTGCTTTGGTGCAAAACAATGAAATTAACCCTGAGAAGCTGCACAGGAAATGTAACTAAAAACAAAATATCATGCTTGGCCATGTAATAGCTGAACACACACAAGGCAAAAACATGCAATCTTAATGTAGGATGCATAGATTTCTCAAAAGAGCATGTTGAGTAAAAAATGGCAGTTTGTTCAAAACAAGTTACATGCACAGGGAACATGAAATACAAATTTAGAGAAATTCAAATATGAAATGTCAGCCTGCAACTTACCCATCAATTTATTCGTTTGACATCGATGTAACACGCCACAGTCTTGAATCTTTACCTCAATGAACATGGACGTATTTCCAAAATTTCCAAAACTTGACACTGGTTTTGGTTTTTGACCAATCAGTATGGAAGATATAAGATTTCCCCATATGTGCGTTGTCTGAAAGCATGCTAAGAAAATTCCATGAAAACGAAACATTTCATGCTCCAAAAGGTCTTTTGTAACCCTTGCCGAATCAAATGCTAATTTCAAGACGTATGAAATCTCTGCAGTCCAGAGAATACCTTGGCCTAGTCCAGCAAACAGTGCAGTTGGAATCAAGGTGTAAAATCGGGGATAGAAATTAGCTCCAAACCAGATGAGATAACACAACATTCCCAGTGCTAATGACCACTTGGCTGAGAAAATGTTGATCACTACAGGTGCTAATAAACATGTGAGAACTGTTGTTCCATGAACACAACTCATTGTAATAATTCCTAAATTTGAAGCAGTGTTGACGGATGACTGAAGATTCTGAATGGCTCGAAATGAAGAGAATATTAGAATGAAACTTGCACATAGAACAATCAGGTTCTTCTTAAAAGTGAACATTATTATTGATGGAATGCTGCTGCCTTGTTCACTTGAACTAGGTGTGGGCTCTTCAGGGTCCTCATAGGTTTCTGGTGATTTAGAGTTTTCTTCAATTACCACCTCCTTAACATTATGCTTTTGACATACATGATTCTGCACTCTACTGTCATTTCCAACATGGTTCCGATTTTCATTAATAACATTATCCAATTCAATTTCATCCATTTTTCGAGTTGCCTTTATATAACTTGCTTTCCTCTTTTTTCGCATCATATCATCTATGAAGTCTTCTGATTGTTCGGCAATGTCAGTTTCTCTTCTCGTGGCATACCTGTAACTTTCACTCCTTTGGCGGCTACACTGTGTTGCAAAAGTGTAACTTGGCCGCCTTGGACGATAAAGGCCAAAACCCATTCCAAGACCACTGAAATCCCAAGGCGTTAGTGACATTTTGTATGATCTAACTGAATGATACAATATTGATGATACTGTATAAACCCTGTAAGTTAGTCAGATATTCAAGATCAAACATATATTCTTGATCTGACAGTTATGATAATGTACACATTGACATGTAACATATCAGTACATTTAGTCAAGATAATAGTATCAGTGATTCACAAACTGAATAGCTGAATAATCCAATTACTCTTCATCCAGCATTAATCCTTGGCTGTGGCATGTTATCATTCACACACAGCAACCAAAAAGAAATGAGTCCATGACACCGGTCGTCTGAAGATCCATGATAGTTATGGGAACAATAGTGTCGGTTTTAAGTCTTATTCTCCTGGTATAATCATTCCGTGATTGAAAAAGGGAGGATGAAAATTAACAAATCCCTCCTCTGAATTCAGCTCATGTTGTGTATAGCGTCCGACCAACAGATTCCCGGCTAAATAGTCGCCACAATTACCTTTATATTGGTGGCTATTGCGCCAAGCGCCATCGATCGATTCTACCCAGCGTAGTTGCCGCGGCCATGCAGTCAGTCTGTTTTTCAGTCGTCACGTTATGCGGTTCTGGCTCTGCACTGGCTGAAGGCTGCTGGCAAGCACATTCTGACAGCAAGTTCACTGTTGGTTTTCACCTATAACATCTGACTGACACTCAAAATAAGTGCACTTTTATAATGTTGAAATGATTGCAGGTGCGATACCATTCATTGCCAGAGTTCTACCGTTTCAGAAACACCACACAGACACACAAGCGTGTAGATCAGTGATTTTGACAGCAAATCGAATTTGCATTGCATTGCAGACGATTCTCTTCCGGGTTATAGTCTCGCAGTCAATAGGATTAAACCTTAATAGACACACTACCAAATAACGTTATCATAGGAAATATGGTGAACAACATTTTAATTATACAATTCGATAACTTTAGTGAATTAAGTTGTTGAAAAATTATCCAATGAAAACCGTCCACATTGAATATGTTTGTGCTGATCTACAATATGGCTGCGTCCAGGAAGGTTCGTGCCGTTATTATGTTTATTCTAGTTTGGTCACAGTAAAAATACATGTCGTATTGTTCCAGATCAAAATTGAAACAATAAATTTGGTGTTCTTTTTAACTGAATTTGGTATCTATTCAAATATTTGAATTTATATCCAATACTAGCAAGAAATCACTTGGAAGCGCTTGTAAACGACACGTTGCATTTCAGATCGAAATCATGATTGGCAGCATATAAATAATCATTTTCATTGACAAGCATAACACACAATCAACTAAGTCGCAGAGACGTACCACACCCCGCTCCCACATAACTTGTAATGACTTATGTTTGCGGGTGCAGAAGAAACTAGCCCTAGACAATGTGGAGAAAATGGCCCAAATTTGTGTGAAAGTGGACCCAAATTTTGGAGAAAATAGATCCAAGTTTTGAAGAAACAAAACTTGTGCAAATCAGTTGTAATTAAGTTTATTTATTGTGGAGCTATTCTGCACGGATCCTGTGTACCATGGTCTATCCAAATGTCACATGGTCTCCATATCCAGCTCCACATGTTATTATTGTGTGGATTTCGGAAATCCCTCAGTGCATCATGTCCTGAGATACAAGTTCACATAGTTTGTGAATCCTTCCCTGACAAGAGCCACAGAATAAAGTCTGCTGATTTCTCTTCACATCTTCTGACACGAAACGCAATAAACAATCCTTCATTTTAGCTGTCATCAGGCTGGTTGCAGGTATATTTACCCAGATCCAGGATTCTTCTCATTTCTCCAGAAGTTCTCCTCAAGCATTGTAATTGTGTTGTAACAAAACAACATACATATGACCGTCTCTCTAAATTCGTCTCTTCGGTAATCCTCACTTATCCAGTTTGTGCCATTGTCTCTGGTCTCTCTGGCCTTGTTTGTGACAATGGTTACTGAGTACTACTAATTGCAAAATAACAATAATGTCGGAGTTGAGAAACAGGTCCCATGTATTAATTCTATAAATGAAATCACTTTTAGTTAATTCCAAATTTGTTCTCCAAATTAAGTAAGCAACCCTACAAGCCCCACCTTGGTTGCCTCACCTTTTCGGACATACCCTTTTTCGACCAAACACTAAATGGCCTGGCGGACCTGTGCGCAAATACGCATATGTCGAAAAACGCATGTTAAATTCCTAATTTAAGTAAGTTAGTTTTGTGTGGGTCCATTTTCTCCAAAATTTGTGACCCATTTTCACAAAAATTAGGACCATTTTCTCCATATTGTCAGGGGCCATTTTGTCTATAATCCATGTTTGCACTTACGATAAGCATGAGGTAATAGGGACTTAAGTTCTGATTGAGGATCAACACAAGTAAGTTAACTTATTGATAAGTCACATACAATAATGAACTGAACAATGGAATACACTGTAATCATGATCATAATGATATTACATTCTTGATTGGGACACAGCATATATCTCAATCTGAATGATGTTTTAGACTTTTTATGAATCACTCAGTCTTGTCACATCAGTGCATCAGATTTGGATATGAGGTTTTTGGTTCTTTTGTTACCATGGTTCTTAGTTCACACATGCATTCATACTGGATCCCCAATCCACTATGTTTGAACTTTTTATATATATGTCTAAGAAGAAATAGATGTGTATTTTTTAGAAATTGTGGGTCAAAGCTAACAATTCATAGCATAAATAAAAAAACGTAACTAGATAAAATATTTCAGCACCCAATTGTATGCTTCAATATATAACTTTAAATTAGATATTAAAGGAAGAACCCTGTGCAATGGCAGAAGGTATCTGGCATAACCCATTCTTGCCATTCGAGCTGCTACTGTTGAGTTATCTCAAGCATATCTACAGCAGCCATCTAATTAACCATGTTGACTGTGGTGGCCCTCAGATAATCTACTGAAGCCCTTTGGTAACAGAGACATTTATTTCTTTTACAAGTCTAAAACTTGTGAGAGAATATGTAAATATTTGCAGAACTAGATGGAACATATTTCTCATCTGAGACATATAGGAGAAGTGTTAAAGCCACTGGACAATCAAGGTCTCCTTTAAAGATTGTGTACATGAAATGTATGGTGTGATTGCCTTGTAGGTGGATGGTACCATGTTGGCAGCAGTGATTGTGCTGTGTTCACTGGCTACACTGACACCTGTCAGCGCCAAGTCCAAGTATATCAGCATCTCCTTGGAGAGTAAATGGAAACACACACCCATTCTCCTTGAAGCAAGGTGGGAAGTTGAAAATATGAATGTTAATATCATTTTTATGTTTGGTTATCACTTCATATGTTAAATAAGTTACTATTATAAAAAAGTGAATTTTACATATAAATCAGGCTACTCATGCTAATGATTACTTGAATAATACTAATACTTTTTTATTCTACTTATTCAATTGTAAATTTATTAATTTTCACATAACTACACTATTGGGAACACCACTATTGAATGAAAAGTAACAAATAGTTCAATGTGTTGTGTGCTGCTGACTCATAATGATACACTTGACCCTGAAGTGCCCAACATGCCGTTATTAAAGAATGTATCCTTGTGCATCTAGATAATCGATATTAGTAGCATCTGATTTGAGCTACAAGTCTGAACTGCTGAAACCAGTGTCTCTTTAAGTCTAGCTGTTATCAGACTATATGTTCAGATTAAGATTGACTGAAAATTGTTTTGGCACTGACCAACTGACATTATCAATGTGATATTGTCCAAGACATTAAAGCCATATTTCTGCTACACATAGGTATGTGCACACTGTAAATCCACATAACTCCGTAAATAGTAAACATATTGAAGTCAGTTGAATACTGGTTATTTAATGATTAACAGAAAAAAATGTAGACAAATACAAAATCATTAACATTGATCAGTTCAATAATGCAACACAAGCCCCGCCCTTCCTGTGATCAGCAAATCAGGAAAAAGTATGTTTGTGGGCATGGACTATTTATGTATTTTCAGTTTATAGAAACAGAAACCCAAAAGACTTTGCTTGGATTTCTAATGACAGGCCTCACAATCACTTGCAATATATTTTTTTATTGGTGAAGTATCTTTAGCATTTAATTCAATCATTGAAACTGCATCACACATTATTCTTGATAGTTTGTTCCCAGTTAGTTTCAACACATAAATGTTTATTATGCTTATCTGCTCATGTAATCCTCATTGTAACTACTTCATGCATGAAGTGTACTTATAACTCATGTTAGTGTACTTAATATATACGTTATGTCTGCATATTTATTTATTCTTTTATGGTTATATTCTACTTCCAGTGAAGGCATTGCTAAAGAGTCAAGTGACTACTTTTGGACTTTTATCAATGATTTGTCAAATCTTGGTACCAAAAATGTCAAAGGAGGTAAGAAAAGTTGTCACAAATTATATTGCATACAATAATCAGCTTTCTTCCCATATTCACTGTCAAAATTGTGAATCAGAAGGTGACACAGCATGTAGATGTTTCAAACAGGTGGAAAAAGCCAAACATGATGACGACCATAGGAAATAGGCACAGCTCGAGGAGATGGGAACTAATCAACACGCTGAAAGTTAGAATATTTGATGGCCTGAGCTTTAAGACAATCTAAGAATTTAAGGAAGTATGTCTGACAACTAACATGCCTAATTGATTGTACATAGTGGTTTATGAGAGATTACTTGATGACACTCACTGTGTTGCAGAGACAGACGAGTCGCAGTACCACCTGATACAGAAGCTGGCCAGCAAGGTGTTATCTCCCTTGCAGCTCAATCTGCTCAGATTCACTCTTGCATTACGAGCTCACTCGCCAACCATACAGATGTACCAGCAGGTAACACTACAGCGTGCCAGCCCAATCTGTAGGAATAAAATCTAAATCAAAGTCTGAGTAGGAACTCATGCTGTCCACTACTGATTGTCAACAATCAAGTCTAAACCAGACAGCATGAGTAGGAGGAGTTTTATTTATTTGCCGATAAGTCTGTCCACTATTGGTTTGTCTGGTCCAGACTTGATTGTTGACAACTTGCTGATAAGACTGTCCACTACTGGTTTTTCTGGTCCAGACTTGATTGTTGACAACTTGCCGATAAGGAGCTGTCCACTACTGGTTTGTCAGGTCCAGACTTGATTTTTGACAACTTGCCGATAAGGGGCTGTCCACTACTGGTTTGTCTGGTCCAGACTTGATTGTTGACAACTTGCCGATAAGGGGCTGTCCACTACTGGTTTGTCTGGTCCAGACCTGATTGTTGACAACTTGCCGATAAGACTGTCCACTACTGGTTTGTCTGGTCCAGACTTGATTGTTGACAGCTTGCCGATAAGGGGCTGTCCACTACTGGTTTGTCAGGTCCAGACCTGAGTGTTGACAACTTGCCGATAAGGGGCTGTCCACTTCTGGTTTGTCTGGTCCAGACTTGATTGTTGACAACTTGCCGATAAGGGGCTGTCCACTACTGGTTTGTCAGGTCCAGACTTGATTGTTGACAACTTGCCGATAAGGAGCTGTCCACTACTGGTTTGTCTGGTCCAGACTTGATTGTTGACAACTTGCCGATAAGGGGCTGTCCACTACTGGTTTGTCAGGTCCAGACTTGATTGTTGACAACTTGCCGATAAGGAGCTGTCCACTACTGGTTTGTCTTGTCCAGACTTGATTGTTGACAACTTGCCGATAAGGGGCTGTCCACTACTGGTTTATCTGGTCCAGACTTGATTGTTGACAACTTGCCGATAAGGAGCTGTCCACTACTGGTTTGTCAGGTCCAGACTTGATTGTTGACAACTTGCCGATAAGGGGCTGTCCACTTCTGGTTTGTCAGGTCCAAACTTGATTGTTGACAACTTGCCGATAAGGAGCTGTCCACTACTGGTTTGTCAGGTCCAGACTTGATTGTTGACAACTTGCCGATAAGGAGCTGTCCACTACTGGTTTGTCAGGTCCAGACTTGATTGTTGACAACTTGCCGATAAGGGGCTGTCCACTTCTGGTTTGTCAGGTCCAAACTTGATTGTTGACAACTTGCCGATAAGGAGCTGTCCACTACTGGTTTGTCTGGTCCAGACTTGATTGTTGACAACTTGCCGATAAGGAGCTGTCCACTACTGGTTTGTCAGGTCCAGACTTGATTGTTGACAACTTGCCGATAAGGGGCTGTCCACTTCTGGTTTGTCTGGTCCAGACTTGATTGTTGACAACTTGCCGATAATTGGCTGTCCACTTCTGGTTTGTCTGGTCCAGACTTGATTGTTGACAACTTGCCGATAAGGGGCTGTCCACTTCTGGTTTGTCTGGTCCAGACTTGATTGTTGACAACTTGCCGATAAGGGGCTGTCCACTTCTGGTTTGTCAGGTCCAAACTTGATTGTTGACAACTTGCCGATAATTGGCTGTCCACTTCTGGTTTGTCTGGTCCAGACTTGATTGTTGACAACTTGCCGATAAGGGGCTGTCCACTTCTGGTTTGTCTGGTCCAGACTTGATTGTTGACAACTTACCAATAAGGGGCTGTCCACTACTGGTTTGTCTGGTCCAGACCTGATTGTTGACGACTTGCCGATAAAGGGCTGTCCACTACTGGTTAATCTGGTCCAGACTTGATTGTTGACAAATTGCCGATAAGGAGCTGTCCAGTACTGGTTTCTCAGGTCCAGACTTGATTGTTGACAACTTGCCGATAAGGGACTGTCCACTACTGGTTTGTCTGGTCCAGACTTGATTGTTGACAACTTGCCGATAAGACTGTCCACTACTGGTTTGTCTGGTCCAGACTTGATTGTTGACAGCTTGCCTATAAGGAGCTGTCCACTACTGGTTTGTCAGGTCCAGACTTGATTGTTGACAACTTGCCGATAAGGGGCTGTCCACTTCTGGTTTGTCTGGTCCAGACTTGATTGTTGACAACTTGCCGATAAGGGTCCAGACCTGATTATTGACAACTTGCCAATAAGGGGCTGTCCACTACTGGTTTGTCTGGTCCAGACTTGATTGTTGACAACTTGCCAATAAGGAGCTGTCCACTACTGGTTTGTCAGGTCCAGACTTGATTGTTGACAACTTGCCGATAAGGGGCTGTCCACTACTGGTTTGTCTGGTCCAGACTTGATTGTTGACAACTTGCCGATAAGGGGCTGTCCACTACTGGTTTGTCTGGTCCAGACTTGATTGTTGACAACTTGCCGATAAGGGGCTGTCCACTTCTGGTTTGTCAGGTCCAGACTTGATTGTTGACAACTTGCCGATAAGGAGCTGTCCCCTTCTGGTTTGTCTGGTCCAGACTTGATTGTTGACAACTTGCCGATAAGGGGCTGTCCACTACTGGTTTGTCTGGTCCAGACCTGATTGTTGACAACTTGCCGATAAAGGGCTGTCCACTTCTGGTTTGTCTGGTCCAGACTTGATTGTTGACAACTTGCCGATAAGGGGCTGTTCCTTTCTGGTTTGTCTGGTCCAGACCTGATTGTTGACAACTTGCCAATAAGGGGCTGTCCACTACTGGTTTGTCTGGTCCAGACTTGATTGTTGACAACTTGCCGATAAGGGGCTGTCCACTTCTGGTTTGTCTGGTCCAGACTTGATTGTTGACAACTTGCCGATAAGGAGCTGTCCACTTCTGGTTTGTCTGGTCCAGACTTGATTGTTGACAACTTGCCGATAAGGAGCTGTCCACTACTGGTTTGTCAGGTCCAGACTTGATTGTTGACAACTTGCCGATAATTGGCTGTCCACTTCTGGTTTGTCTGGTCCAGACTTGATTGTTGACAACTTGCCGATAAGGGGCTGTCCACTTCTGGTTTGTCTGGTCCAGACTTGATTGTTGACAACTTGCCGATAAGGGGCTGTCCACTTCTGGTTTGTCTGGTCCAGACTTGATTGTTGACAACTTACCGATAAGGGGCTGTCCACTACTGGTTTGTCTGGTCCAGACCTGATTGTTGACAACTTGTCGATAAAGGGCTGTCCACTACTGGTTAATCTGGTCCAGACTTGATTGTTGACAAATTGCCGATAAGGAGCTGTCCACTACTGGTTTGACTGGTCCAGACTTGATTGTTGACAACTTGCCGATAAGGGACTGTCCACTACTGGTTTGTCTTGTCCAGACTTGATTGTTGACAACTTGCCGATAAGACTGTCCACTACTGGTTTGTCTGGTCCAGACTTGATTGTTGACAGCTTGCCTATAAGGAGCTGTCCACTACTGGTTTGTCAGGTCCAGACTTGATTGTTGACAACTTGCCGATAAGGGGCTGTCCACTTCTGGTTTGTCTGGTCCAGACTTGATTGTTGACAACTTGCCGATAAGGGTCCAGACCTGATTATTGACAACTTGCCAATAAGGGGCTGTCCACTACTGGTTTGTCTGGTCCAGACTTGATTGTTGACAACTTGCCAATAAGGAGCTGTCCACTACTGGTTTGTCAGGTCCAGACTTGATTGTTGACAACTTGCCGATAAGGGGATGTCCACTACTGGTTTGTCTGGTCCAGACTTGATTGTTGACAACTTGCCGATAAGGGGCTGTCCACTACTGGTTTGTCTGGTCCAGACTTGATTGTTGACAACTTGCCGATAAGGGGCTGTCCACTTCTGGTTTGTCAGGTCCAGACTTGATTGTTGACAACTTGCCGATAAGGAGCTGTCCACTACTGGTTTGTCTGGTCCAGACTTGATTGTTGACAACTTGCCGATAAGGGGCTGTCCACTTCTGGTTTGTCTGGTCCAGACTTGATTGTTGACAACTTGCCGATAAGGGGCTGTCCACTACTGGTTTGTCTGGTCCAGACTTGATTGTTGACAACTTGCCGATAAGACTGTTCCACTACTGGTTTGTCTGGTCCAGACTTGATTGTTGACAGCTTGCTGATAAGGGGCTGTCCACTACTGGGAAACAACATTCACTGACCAATTTTCATAATAAGATTATTAGGCTTAAAAAAAGAAGAAGAATTAATTCTCAGGCAATGGCTTTTGAAAATATAGTGCGGACGGGCAGCCTTTTTTGGTGGGGTTGTTCACACTAGTATGTAATGAAATAGACAGTTGTGTACAATCAACCTTGGCAAGGGCCTCCCTACATAAATGTATTCCTTGATTAGTGAAATACTGGAATATGGTATTTGACTACTGTTGGACTAATACACGCATACAATGAGCTTTGATTTTATTTCACAATGCGAAAAGGTTATCAAGAGCACACAACAACAGAAGAAGCATGTCAACAAATCCGTACTGAAGTACACAAGTTAGTCCCGTTAATACCCTATCTGGCTATAAAAGAGTTCATTGTGTATCTGGACATACGTTTGTAATCCATTATATTTCTTTTCTCCAAGTTTTCATTCAATATTGTTTACATAATTTCGGCAAATCAAATCAAGTCACCATGAACTCACCTTGAAACGAACATTAGTCGTTAGAGATACAAAGTCTTCGGTCTTCCTATCAATTCCTTTCAAAAATTTCTTTTCAATTATGATTTTGGACATGACGTTAAGTATAACGGCAAAACAAGCACACACAGTCCTATTGCGTCCATGATCAGACCACACAACATGAAATGAGCAGTAAAGCAGTGCGCATGTAAAGGGAAGTAACTGCACTCTATATTGGATCGCATTGTTTTTAAGTATTGTAGCATTTGACTGCCAGGGCCATGTGTTTGAGACTCAGAATATTTAAGGATTTTGTTTTTGAAAATGCAAATATAAATGAAACGTGCGGCAGACTTTGTGATGATGCTGCGGTACCTGAGAATCAAGACTTTTTTTTAAGCCTTATATATTTCAAGACCAAAAGCTGTGACCTTCATTTCCTGAATCTGTCATTTATTTGCCCAGATTGCTGCAGAAGCTGATATGTTGGAGGAATGTGATGCCTTTGTTGATGTCCATGGCAGTAAATCATGTGACCCATCAAAACTTGATCAGCTCATCAAATCAGCAAAAGAAAGGTATTAAAATCTTGACTACTGGTTGCATTGACAGTGGAGTGGTGGCCCTGCAAACAGTACATCCTTTTCTTTCTGTCACATGAGAGTTGAAGGTTTTTTTTTTTTTACAAGAAATATCAAACATAGTTTTCAACAAACATTCTTTATTTCAACTTTAAGTTTAATAATGTTCCTTGCAAGGCTCTTTTTCTCAGCCTTTCAGTACATCCATATTGTCATGTTACTACAAAGTGAATGTATTTTCTTATGTGCCAAACATGTTGATGTTTGCAGACCCAAGCCTGCCGTGTACTCCTTCGACCACATCTACCCGGGCTCAGACCTGGAGGACACCACTGTCATACTGTATGCTGAGGTTGGCACTGAGAGTTTCACCACTTTCCACATGGCATTGTCGCAGAAAGCCTCTGAGAGGAGGATCAGCTATGTGTTGAGGCACTTCTTACAGGTAGTCTGTTGTTCACTTAACACTCTGAACAACAAGTTTTATGTTTCCTTCTACTTGTTGGTGTGAATCAGTCACATGTTTATGATCCTCTTTTTTATGTGTCGGTGGAACTGCCTACTTTCCTCATGTGTTGGGTAAAGCTTCCCCAGTGTCAGTAGAACCAACCTATATGAACATATAGTGCGTTACAGTAAGGAGAAGTTATGAAAATGTAGGTTGGGTTTCGAATTGGATAATTTGCATTCAGAGGTACAGTGATCCCTCGGTACAATGCTACCTTTGAGGTCCAAATAATTGATGAGTGTTAAGGACAATCAGCGGTTTAACCGAGGTCGAGTCGTAGGTGGTAGATGACCAACAAAACAGTATACATGCTCTGCCTACCTAACACGATCTTCGCTGCACATTTCAGAGTTTAAAAATGAAATGATTAGAATAGTAGTTGTTTATGATTCATAGTGTAAAAAAAGATAATTTTAAAACTTATCCCAGCTCACTCTATGCATTCCTCCTCCTTCTTTTGATCCCTTGCGTGGAAACGTCCTTGATCAAAGTTTACAGTTTCTAAACTTCATTTGCCCAGCCACCCATCCATCACCGTCACGACCACCCCAGTATCTTGGTCATGCACCTGGATCTCGTGCATCACACTGTCTCCGATCTGATCCATTGACTGCCTCATCATTCTTTTTCTTTTCGCCTCCCTGTGGAGACATACATGTCTTTTGAGAGAATATTTAGGCCTTTATTTTTCTCAAATTTACGTGAATTTTGGGGCACTAATTGCATATAAATATGGGTATCGACCAAGCCAAACATCCAGCCGGCATGAAATGCTGCCACATATTTTTGCCGGTGGATCCTTATAAATTATGCTGTGATTGTCGTGGAGTCTGTCAACCGGGTTTACAGTGTTTGGAATTCTCTCATTTGTCACAAGAGGCATTTACAGACTTTCTTAAAAAATGCCAGGAGAGAGGGACATTGACCGAACATGGACATTCTGCATCCAAGAAACCTAAGCGTGTGACCAATACTAGCAGTCCCCCAACTGTCAAATATGTGGTAAAGCAACCACCATCACCCACAATTATATCTACTGCATCTACTATAGACTCTAGCAAAAACCAGGCATTGACATTGCCTACTGAACAGTGAAAGAGTAGGACGCTCCAAGTGTTGACATTTCTCAGGTTGACATACAGCTAGTCGACTTTGAAGGGTCGACATTCTACAGAGAAGTTGACTTCGAACCACGATCGACCCTCCAAAAGTCGACATTCCACAGGTTGACATCCGGTGGGTCGACATTCCTCAGGTAGACATTCAGTGGGTCGACATTCTTCTGATCAACATTCTAGGGGTCGACATTCCAAGGAACGCACTCCTTCCAGTCGTAGATCTTGAGATCGACTGGATAAGGATCAACTTTCTACAGGTCGACTCTCTAAGGGTCGACATTCAGGTCACTCTCCTCAAGGTTTATCAACTGATAGATGCATTTGGCATCAACGTGTGGCATTGCGATGCTCTGGCCATATCATGGGAAAATCTCAACGCCTTTGGGTTTCCACCAAAAGATTTTGATCACGGTTTACTGGCCTGTGTGCAGGTGGTTCACTGTGTTGGTAGACCTCACAAGAGGAAACTATTATCCACTTCCCTTGCGAAGAGATTTTCTCCTTCAACCTCACTCCAGCCTACTACATCTATGGGCCTGGCTCATTCACAATGGGATTTCATTGCTAAGAACCAACTTCCTGGTCAACAGGCTATTCACTATCCTGGCTTTGGCCTCTATTCTACATCCCGAGGATCGCTAGGACATATTGCTTTATGCATATACCTGCAAGACTCATCCACCCAAGACATCGAATCCTCACAAGATGAGAGCTGTCGCATCTACCATGGCTCTACATAGCAACTGTTCCCTCAATGCTATCACTGAAGGATGTTTCTGGAAGTCTGACATGGTCTTTGCGTCCCACTACTTACGAGATATCTCCATAACCAATGTCCAAAGGCTACACTACTTTGGTCAGCTAGTCCTGGTTCAGCAATTTATGACAGCCTGTCAACGCAGATAAATTGCGAGTACAGTCACTGCAGTCGCACAGTTGTATCGTGTATAGTATGAATAAACAATTGAAAACCACTCCCTTTTGTTTATTATTATGGAGAAGCACAAAAAACTCATCTGTAGAGACCGTAAAAAAGTCTATCATCACGAAGTCGCCGGTAGGCGCGGCTGTTTCGACGGTGTCCCATTTCCATTTTCAGCCCACCTCTGATCAAGGATGTTTCTATGCAAGGGATCGAAAGAAGAAGGAGGAATTCATAGAGTGAGATAGGATAAGTAATTTTAATATACAATTTATTGTAAAATGTACAATTTTTTAACTTATCCTGCATTACTCCCAAATGCATGTACTGCTGTTTTCTGACAGAGAGACAAACTATGTGAGATCCAGCTGCTGAAGAATAGCCAGCACCCTCGCACAGTCGGCACATGACCCGGAAGTCATGATGTCACATCAAAACACATAACTGCTTTGTCTCCTCCATGGACGGACGTACTTTGCATCCCATGTTGTTCCCACCAATTTGTCTTTTTCCTGCCATTTTTGCGATTCACCCCATGGCCACGTACTTTCGTGTTATGCGTTTTGAATTCTTTATTTGGTTTGGGTAATACACTAAATTTATTTATTTTGTGATGGTGTGTTTAAAGCTTTGCTTTTTCACTACCTTTTTGCTGAAATGTTTACTCTCATAAACTTTTATAAAGTGAAAAGTTTTTGAGTTACATTGTGCTTCCCTTTGTGTGTTTGCCACATCGTTATGTTTTTGCTTCAATTTCAGACTTTATGCCTCTGGTCAGGGACCCATCCTTTCTGCATTGATTGTATGACGCCCTGTACTTTCACAGCTCAAGACGCCCCCGGCGCCTTGGTTTTCACGGCTCCTCTGGTGCCGCCGGTGCCTCTCTCGGCACCACTGGAGCCCTGGTATCTCAGCTTTTCTTGAGCGCCTTCTGGCCCTCCAGCACCTGCTATCCTCTACTCTACTTCAGCATCTGCTGTGCTGCCGGCGCCCTTGGCTTCCACAGCTCTAACAACGCCATAGATGCCATCGGCAATTGCCTCACTGGCGCCCCTGGCACTTCCTTCTATTACAGACTCTCATCAGTCTAAATCTTCACCACGGAGCGGCAAGGAGAAACCATGTCTTTTCGATCTCGTCACCGCTCCTCTAGCCTCTCTCCCGTACGCCATTGGGATCATGACTATAGTTCAGATTCCTGGTAAGGGATCTCTTCAAACCAGTAGATTTTGGCCCTGACATGGATAAGACACGTTATTTGGCCCCTACCGGCGCCCTCCCTTCCAGACACTTTATTGACCGTTCTCACCTCGGCACTAGATGAGGATTTTTGTTCTCCTTAACCCAATCGTTTGGAGCACCGTGCTTTAGGAGAGATGACCTGCAGGTTCACTCCTTTGATGTGGCTGTAGGAGCTCACATGTTATTGGAGCCAGTTTTTCCATGCGCTACCGGTGCTCTCGTAGAACCCGAGTATACCACTTGTTTGTCTACCACACAGTTCATTGGGATTGTCTGTGGGTGGAGATTGCACCCCATTTCCGGCTACAATGCGTTTTTCTTGGCTACTGTGCAGGGTGATTTACATGTCGCGTGTCAAGTATTCTGAATGTTAAACACCTCCGACCATGCTATAAGAATGGGAGCGGTTATGCAGCATTCAGGGGATGGAAAGATCACCTAACTTCATACGGTATGATCTTTCAGACTATGAAATTTTTATATCTTTAGACTTGGCTACTAGATACAGCATTGATTTTCTAATTCTACACATAACCGTTCCATCAACCTCTCTTGACTACATGCCAAGTATTGTGTTGCCTTCCTTCATCGTCGCCTCGATATAAGAATGAGAGATGGAAACAATCACATTACTTTGTGCAGTTTGACCTTTTTGACCAAAGATTTATATCTATTCAGATACAGATTATGTCTCTTCCCACGACAGTTCTGTCGCTCCCTGCTGACTACATGCGGAGTAACGAGGCACCTCCCTTCATCGTCACCTCGATATAAGAACGGGAACGCGTATCTCACACCTAGGGGATGGAACTGGTCACCTTACGTCTTCCAGTACCACAATTTTCCTGATATCTAATGGATATAGCTTCAAATTCCGACTAACCGGTGACGTCGATGCCTTGGCAGTCGGTTGAGGAGCGGGTTTATTTCGTCTACATGGGGTTTGGCATTGGTTTGCAGGCGAACACACTTTTCAACGTATTGGCCCAACAGGACGCGATCAGAGAGCCCAGTTGTTGACTTTTAAACTTGCATTCTTGTAGATGACCTCATCTACCATGGCTTCCCGCTCTCCCACTGCCGCTTCCACTTTGTCAGTGGCTAGTGCTTCTGGTATTGCTTCAGGACTTACCAGGTTGAGAGCATGTTCTGGCACACCCTCAGTCCAGGCCTGACATGGTGGCTCCCTCGGGTGGTAGCTCCACTCAGACGTGTTCACCTTGATCTGCCAAAAGATTGTCTCCCCCATCATCTCTTCGCCACATCCTTGAACTGCCATCCTACATCTCACCGGTGCCGGATCCGTCAGCTATGGCAGTCTACGCCCTCTGCGTTCCCTTGGGAGGTTTATCCGCGTATGCTTTTCCGCCTCCAACTCTCCTTCCCATGGTTCTTCACATGTTCCAGGCCCCTTGACAACTGATCCTGGTTGTGCCCTGGTAGCCGGCGAGGTACTGGTTTGTTGCCCTCTGACCTAGACCTTCCAGTGTGGCTCAACCTCCTGTTACACCCAAACACCGCATGGTTTCATATGCACACCTGGCGCTTCTGCCGAATGCCCTAGGAGCCAAGGGCTACTCGGCTTGAAAGGTCAAAGACTATTGCTTTAGCCTATCATCCGTCGACACAGGGACTGTATGTCGACAAAGGGTGTG